AATTAGGTAAAATTATAAGGTTTATATATGGTTTATCTGAAATTATGAGGTTTATGTAAGGTTTACCTTACATGAATTAAAGGTTTACCAAAATTATAAGATTTATGTGAGGTGTAGGTAAAATTATAAGGTTTATATATGGTTCGTCTGAAATTATGAGGTTCATGTAAGGTTTATAGAAATTTATAGAATTTATGTGAGGTTTAGGTAAAATTATACATAAAGTTTATGTGTAGTTTACATTAAATTATAAAACTTGTGCAAGTTTTATGTAAAATTGTAAGGTTCATGTATGGTTTATATTAAATTATAAGACTTGTGCGAGGTTCAAGTAAAACTGTAAGGTTTATGTAATGTTCGGTAAAATTAAAAGGTTTAAGAAAAATTATAAAGTATATGTAATGTTTCTGAGAAATTGTAAGCTTTATATGGGGTTTATGTAAAATTATAAGGTTCGTGTAAGATTTATGTATATTTTATGCAAAATTGTTATATAAGGTTGGCATAAGGTTATAAGACTTGTATAAGGTTTATGTGAAATTAATCTAAAATTATAAAGTTTATGTAAGGTTCATGTGAAATTGTAAGGTTTATGTAAGGTTCATATAAGGTAAATTATAAGCTTTATCAAAGGTTTATATGCAGTTATAAGGTTCGTATGATGTTATAAATGTTTTGTAAGATTTATGTACAGTTATAAGGTTAATATAAAATTATAAGACGTATGTAGAGTTATAAGATTCGTGTGAAATTATAAGGTGCATGTTGATTTATGTAAAATTACAAACTATATACAAGATGTATGTAAAACTATAAAGTTTATATAACGTTTACGAAAAATTACAAAATTTAGATAAGATTTGTGTAAAATTACAAAATTTTATACAAGGTTTGTGTTCAATTACAAAATGTACGTATCATCTATATAAAATTACAAGATTTGTATAATGTTTATGCAAAATTAGAAAAGGTTATGTGAGGTTTATGTAAAATATATATAATTTATGATATATTATATTATATGATGCTATACATACTTTATTTAATAGTTAATGAAATCTGTTCTATTGAATAATACATTCAATTATTATGAACACTATGTACATTGTATATATTTTCATGTAAACATGTTTTAACATATTTTATTATTAAAATATAATTAGTATAAAAAAATTAGTAGTATCTTCTCGATTTAATACTGCCATTAATAATTCGAGGGTAAAAGTGGAATAATTTATGGCGTTCCATAATTTGTGGACAAAATTACAAGTGTTACAAGTGAAAATTTTCAATTGAAACAGAAAATAAGATACATGGTACTTGCATCACTTAACGACAAAAATTTGGAAATTCGGTGATTTAAAAATTTAATACCTTGAATATTTCTGAATTTTCAGTATCCTATGTGTTATATCTCCCACGATGCACTCAGAGGACCCTGTAGTTTAGAATAATCACCCATACTGTTCCTAACCTATATAATTTCACCAATTTCGAAGCCATAATTTTATTTGTGCTGAGTTAATTTTATTTGCAATCTCAAATAACCATAATTTCACATAATAAATAAATACCAACAGTAAATTCTCTATAAACCTTCTTCCATCAAAAGATGAACAAAGAAATAAATTTCAAGTCCACACCCAAAAACACTTTGCTATTTCAAACAACCTAACTTAACCTAATATAATAAAATAACCTCATCGCTGATTAACTACATAAATAGGTATATGTATATGCTCCAAATTCAAAGAATCTTCGTCAAAAAGAACCATTATTAAAAATGTAAAATGTAATAGTAAAATGTAACTGCGTCCATGAACGAAAACCACCAAAAATTGATTTGTGGAAGACTAAAAGGTTCTACTCCTGAAAATATGTATCACAATTTAAAATATGCAAGCTAATTATATAATTTGACAATGTATCATCTACTATTTTAGATCCATAATAACTACTAATATTCAATAATAAATTAACTCGGTTTTTATTCGCTGAGGAGCTCTCCCCTTGCAGGCCTCTTGCTAGCCACCTTTCGACACGTTTGACAATTTTTCTGTGTTCTGTGGGTGTTTTAGTCTATTTTAAGGAAGTTTGATTCTCTGACAAAAATTCATATCTAGCATGGTTTAACCTGTATATTGATATACGATATTGGGATTTAAATCGTGATTCACACATAAAGCTTGTACTAATAAAATCATCATTCATCAATTTTCTTTAGTTTCTTTTTCAAACTTTTCTCTCCACAAAGTTCGGCTACATTCTTTTACAACTTTTCACTCTACATTCACCACGCGTAATTTTTAGCATCAAGTGAAAGGAGCAGTTGCCAGAGAATTACAGAACCGAACAGAGAAAAACAAAGTACGTTTGAAAGAGGCGTTCAAGTACAAGGTAACAAAGTACACCCCGTATGGGACCAATCGCAGGTAGTGCTGCAAGCTAGTTCTGCCCACTGGTCTAAATTATGGGGTCGCTGTCCAGCTCCCCACGCATAAATGATTGCCCGTGTTATGTTAAACATCCAACAACGGGAGAGCACTGAGAAGAGAGCTCACCCACACGAAACACATCCGATGGAGAATAAGGGAAAAAGAGGAGGAAGGCAGAAGGTGAACGTTATTTATCTCGAGCAGTCGTACGAGCAAGGATTTTGAATAATTCCTGGTCGGCGGAAGAGGTCGAGGATCTTGCAACTTACAGGCTACTTTTGTACCGAGCCTCCGCCTTTGCTGAAAACGTAACTCATTTCGATTTCCCGGTCATTTGGATTTTTACATTATGATCGACTTAACGCTAGAATTAAGCTAAGTTAAGCTAAGTTAATCAGCTTAAGCTTAAGTTCATCAGAAGCTGTTTCTATCAAAACCAGAGAGTCATCGTTCCGTAAGTACAGTTCATCTTTTGTAACTATTCAGAGGTTTTCAATCCTTTCGCCATTTTTAGGACATTTTAAGAATCAGGTCCTATTGCAACAACTGTGCTATAATGGCTGCGTATAAATATGTGTATGCTCCACTTTTGAATCAAATTAAGTCAATCCATCTGTTCGTCTCAAAGTAAAAATAAGAAAAGCCAATGTAAATAAATAAAATTGATAGTAACCTAACACTCTGACAAATGGTTTGATGGCAGAACAGATTCGATGAGAATTGAAACAATTTGCCAGAATGCTGTGGGAATCGAAATGCAACTCGGTGATCGGCACACAGATCGGTTGTGGTCAGTGGCCAGCGAAGAAAAAGACATATTAGAGACATCATAATGCCAGGACGAAGCTGTGTTCCAATTTATAACCGGATAATATCGCGATAGAGTCTCAGGTTCGAGGCATTGTGTTCGGTAGAGGGTTTCGTTCCTGATGTTACACCGGGCATCAACTGGGTGGGGTCTCTTGGTGCCTTGGTGGCCTGGCTCGAGGTATCCTTTTGATATCCTGTTAACTAATGCCAGCTATTCGTTACAGACAAATAACTCACGAGATGTATATATGATTTTTCATACCCGGAGAATTCTGCCACGTTCGTAGATTCGACACGCTGTATGATCTCGATTCGAGTTTTAAATTGTTATCGGTAATAAGAAGCGGTCAGTAGGTGCTATTGTTAGCTACATTTCTTCATTTTCTGGTCAGGTTAGGTTAGGGTAGGTTTGGTTTTCATACCCGAAGAATTCTGCCACGTTCGTAGATTCGACACGCTGTATGATCTCGATTCGAGTTTTGAATTGTTATCGGTGATAGGAGGCGGTCAGAAGCTTACGTAGGTGCTATTGTTAGGTACGTTACTTCATTTTCCGGTCAGGTTTTACCGATAACGTTTGTGATATAGTAAGTTATAGAATCTTGGAAATTTTAGGAGCATTCAATACTTTGTCCATATTTCTTATTTCATACGAAGGTTATTTTCACAACATGTTGATGTTCATAATAGATTGAGTTGTAGTACTTATGTTTGTATGTATTTATAAGGTTTCATGTGATGATTTGAATAACTGAGTATAACAAATAAATATATAAAAATAAAGAGAATAATAAATAATTGTTATGAACTGTTTCTGAACTTTTTCTTGTTATGAAGATTTTCTGACTTTTTATAATTAAGTGGATTGAAGTGGATCCATGTGTGAAACACTTGATCAAGTGATCATACATACCTGAACAAGTGATCCACTTCGCCTATAATATTTTAAATTTAGCCTAAACATTTGGGATAAGATGTATGAAACATGTTTCTACATTTGACCTAGCCAGTTATCTTTTAAAAAAATAGAAACTACAATTATGCCATAAGAAAGCTTGACCTGTCATTTGATTCAAAAGTCTCTGTAAGTAGTCAAGATTTTCTGCAGCCACTATATTGATACAGTTTATTTGTACTATAAATTGTATGTTCGTGATTTAATCAACATCCATTTCTTTGTCAATCAAGTATTCATCTACTACAATTATTCAGTCACTATTAATAGAATGTTTGAAGCAAACATTAATGGAAGTGTACAAATATTGATAAAGATCTTGATCTTGACATGTGTTAAATCATTCTAAGGTGGTTTTCAAGATTGTTCATTACAAAGTTATTAACGAAAAATATTTGGAAAAATTTCAATCTAAACTAACCTACGCACATTCTACAATTCATGGTATTCTCTGACATTCATTTTTAAATATATTAAACACGTCAAGTTTGGTTAGATTAGAATTAGGTTAGCGTTAAATAATTATTCCTACAATTTCTTATAATTCAAAATGATCAAAATTTGTTCAACTTAATTTAGAAATTCAGCCTTCATATACCTCCCCTCCCTGGTAGGCGTGGCCTCAAATAAACCACTACCAAAATCGTTAAAATTTTCATTATCACACTTTGATACAAATCTCCACTTTTACGAATGTTTTAGGTTAACAACTTTTTAATGAACGATACAGAGAAAAGTTACTCGTCCTTAATAATATATGTCAAGGTCAAAGTTAGGGTTTCCTTTCTGTCAATATTTACCAAGTAAAAGTTTGAGACTCGTGTATAAACACATTGTTAGGTTCGAGTTGGAAGAGAAGTAGGCCTGGCCACATTGGTACCGCCTACTAGAATGATCTCGACGAGGAAGGACTCGGACCAACCTTGTTGTGCCCCACCAACGACCTGATACTCCTGGACATTACTTGACGTGTGATTGTGTTATTTCTGTCCGATCCTATTCGCTCTTTGCTTGTAAGGGTTGTATCCTTTGCTTCACCTGTCGCTGCAAGTTGAATACAGAATAACTATTATATAAATACCAGTTTGCGAGAGAATTATTATGTAACTGTAAGGATTATAACGTATTATGGAGAAGTTGGGTAGAATGTATTTTATTTTTGTTTTTGTTGAGTATTTTTGTATTTGATCTTCTGACTAGTAAATAATTCTTAACTATATTAATATGGATTTAAGCTTGAGGTGTTCATAAAAATATTCATTCAACCATTACAATATTCTTTATACTTAGTACAGTATTCTTTATTAAATACTTAATATAGTATTCTTTATTAAATACTTAATACAGCATTCTTTATTAAATACTTAATACAGTATTCTTTATATAATTGTTAATAATTAAGACTTGTAACAGTGATTATGACTTAACTAAAATTGATAGTTCATATCAGAAATACTCCTTTTTTAATTTTTATGTTTTTCCTAAATTATGACAAATGAACAAAAACTATATTAAAACTTGAACGAAGTTGTGTTATAACAAAAATTCATAGCATCTAAAAGTTTGCAACATAAGAATATTTAATTTTGTCAGATCAGAAAAGTGATTTTTTTCACTCAAATCAGTTATCAAAAACTTGTGGATATCGTATGCAATAAACCAAGTAGAATTTGTAGATATGTTACATTTATTAAATAAATAGAGTACTGTAAATATAGTTGAAGAAAACACTGCTCGTAGAAACGAAAACAGTCAGGGGTGCAATTACGAAGAACACACTTGTAACGCAAATAACAGTTGCTTGTAAAATTACATTAAACAAATATATGCATTGCAAACGGTACAATGTACAGTTAAAATTTTTATATTTTTAATTATAGCGATAACTGAGGTATTTTTACAAATTACTTAAAATTCGTTCAAATATAAGGAATGGAAGTCCTTTTCTATAAAATTTCGAAAAACATTGAATGTAAACATTCCTTAAAATATTTGTAGATTTGCAAACAATCTTTTGTATAGAATTAAATTTTAATCGAAGTAAAAACATTTATACATTCAAAATTTTTCATTACTTTTAACTCTATTTTATTAAAAATTCTTGTATGTAATCCTTCAAATATTTTGTCATTCGAAGAAAAAGTTATTGCTGAATTTTTAATATTTTCACTTTTTTTAAAGAAGAAATTATTGTTGCATTTTAAATACTTTCATACAAAGAAAAAATTAATGCTGCATTTTTAATATTTTTACTTTTTTTCAAGGAAAAAATTCTTGTTGCATTTTAAATACTTTCATACGAAGAAAAATTTATTGTTGCATCTTAAACATTTTTACTTTAATCAAAAAAAGTTATTGTATTTTAAATACTTATCTTAAACAAAAATAATTGCTGCATTTGAAATATTTTCACTTCACTCCAACTTCTATCTTCAGATTATTATAAATAATTCATAACACTGACTTCACAGCAGAAGAAAAACGAATAAAAGAAGCACACAATTATCTAAAATATTAGTGTCATAAATTACATCAAATTAAGAGCGATATCTGTTATTTCTTCCATTTTAATACATTTTATTATCTACCGAAGTAATCATACCGTAAAAAGATGCGAGTTTTTTAAATCAGGTCATTATGACTTTGTTTCTCACAGTATTCGCAGAAATTTACGAAAAGATAGTCAAGTTTCAATATGCCTCTCAAATGAATATTGCAACGTGTAATTCTCATAGCATACGAATATACAGAATTAATTAAACTTCAGTTAAATCATGTTCACATACGTTTCTTAAAACTCGAATTAAAAAGATTCATGTTACACGTTGTCTGCAACCGAGCCATGAAACTATTATGAAAACACACCGGTTCGGTTTTGTTCATTTATGCTTTGCTAAATGAACATCTCATGAATTATAAAAATATTTTTTACCCCTGGATGTAGATTAAGTTTTACATGGAACGTATGTTACGTTATGTCTGGTTCAACGTTAAAAAATAAATAACGCGGTAACGAAAAATAAACCATCGCCTACGTGCAATCGTTGCATAAACATGAAAAGCAAAAAGATTTAGGAAAAGGGTGGAGGAAAAATGCGCATTAAAAACATGTTCGGAGTATTATTTTTTGTATATTCTTCGGGAAATAGCTGAACAAAAAAATAATATGAATTCCTCGTAAAAGTCGTCTTAAAATTATTCATTGCCTTTTAAGTATTAACCGCAAGTTTGGTTGCGATGGGGAAATTTCAGTTTCAGTTAAAAAAGGGAGGATGGGATTGCGGTTTTGAGATATGTTTACTTTTACTTCTGCAAATCTTCAAGTTAACAGATTTTTTTATTTTTTCAGTTTCAAGTTATCAGACTTTCGAATTTTTTCATTTTCAAATTATCAGATTTTCGAGTTTTCAAGTTTTCAAGTTTTTAAGTTTTCTAGTTTTAAAGTTTTCAAGGTTTCAAGTTATCAAGTTTTCAAGTTTTCAAGTTATCAAGTTTTCAAGTTTTCAAGTTTTCTAATTTTCAAGTTTTCAAGTTTTCAAGTTTTCAAGTTTTCAAGTTTTCTAATTTTCAAGTTTTCAAGTTTTCAAATTTTCAAGTTTTCAAGCTTTCAAGTACTTAAGCTTTCAAGTTTTCAAATCTTCATATCTTTAAATACTCAGTGTTTCCAAATGTCCAAACTCTCAAATACACAAATGTTCAAATACGTAAAATTTTAAATTTTCAGATTTCCAAATCTCGAAATTTCCAAATTTCTAAATTTTCCAATTATTAAATGCTGAAATACTCAAATTTCTAAGCTGTTTAGACTACTAAATTTTCCAATTTCCAAACTTCGAAATCTCAAGTTTTCAAATCCCTAAATACTTGTATACTCGAATTTTCAAATTTCTCACATTTTAGATTTGAAAATTTTCGAATCTATTAATTTAAAATTTTTTATGTTGTAAAAATTTACAAGTTCTCAAATGTCTACTTACTTAACTTTAAATAAATTGTGAAATTCTGATGTACTCTATTATAAATTTTCTAATTCTCCAACTTTCAAATTCTTTGAAATTCGAGATTTCCAAATTACGAACCTTCTGCATTCACCAAATGTTCAAATATGCAAATTTCATATCGAAATTTTCAAGACTACATTTTCAGATTTCAGATGATATAACTAATTCCTACATTATCACTTCTTCCAATTAGCAAATGTTTAATTTCTCTGATTTCTAAATGACCACTTTGTGCAAATTTTCTTAAAATTGACTGAATATATTTTCCTTATATTTAAACATAAAAAAATAAATATTTTACGAACTGTTTCCCATTCCAATATATTGTAAGAATAGTTCCACATATTAAAAATAGCGTTCATTGAAAATAATAGTGTAAAATTTGAAAACTATTAAAAATAACTGGAACTTTTTGTGATCCAATAATAAGATAAACTGTAAAAATAGAAACTTCATTTGTTACATCTTAGAAAGCAATATCACAGCAAGAAGATTAGATCTCGATTTAATAATACACCAAGTTTATATCGATACAATAGTACAATATAATTTTAGCTTCTCCTGACACTTTTTGTAGATTCAAATCAATAGGTTCTCGTAATAGTAATAACACATGAGGATTACATTCTATCCAGAATTTTTAGTTCATTATTATCCACATCTGGTTAGTTTCGACATGTGGGCATAACCCATAATCTTACAAGGAAACGTATCAAATCAGACACACCAATTTCAATGAAACTTATGTGGAAGATAGTTCTCAAGAAAATATTTAACACGTATTTTTCATTATCGACCATCGTTCACAGAAATTTCATTAACCCATTGCACTATGTCTTATTTGTCAGGTACGTCAGTTAGAACAGACTAATTACAGCTACAATATTAAAACAGACAACAAAATTTGAATTTGTTATGTCAATATGTTATTATGCAATCGTTGACTATGTAAATTATAATTGGACTTGAACTTCAAATTGAAGCGTTCTAAAAATTCGAGTAAAATTGATTACGATCGAAGTACGAGCGCGTCGCGAGTCAGACTCGTCAAAGTAGTGTAAGGGTTAAAATCGGTGTGTCCCGGTTCGAAATGTTTCCTTATTAGTAGTATAATCTTTTATTTGCAGTTTCCTATTTGTGTCGAAGTATTGCTTGGTTTCATCACTTACTTTGCTTTTTCAAGAATATCCAAGTCAACATAAGTTAGGAACCTTCCCATAACCTCATTTGTAAAAATTGTACCACTGCGAGCCCCCATCTTGTCAAGTAATCAGACAGAGTCCCCCATCAGACAGAGAAACGTACACAAGGTTACTTTGTAACAACACCAAACACAAATCATTAATACCTAAAATACCTAAACACGCAAACGCAAATCATTAACACTGGATTTACGAACGTTTGATGGTCACTTATATTTAAATTTGAACTAAAGTAAAAAAGTAAATTGAAAATAATATGAACTGCCTAAGATTCGTTAGCTTCACGAAAGTTGACATATTTACAAAAATTTCTTAATAAGTATTGTCATTTAAAATAGGAGATCGATGTGTTAGAAATAAGAAAGCACATATTAGTTACACAATTATTCAATCTAAGCTTGTAAATAATAGAACTAGATTGAAGTTCCTCTCGTCGTTTAATTGCCGACGCTGCGACGCACTCAGTGAAAGAATTTCCTTACCAGGTCATTTTCAAGGATTGCACCCAAAGATATTGATAGCAACTCTGTTGAAAGAAATAACAAAAAACAAGATAGCAAAACTGTTGAAGGTTTAATGAATATTTTTGAAGTCATTAAATCCTTGCCTATATCAAACTCGTAACGCACGTTCAAATATAAATCTAAATTATGCATAAAGATTATCAAAGTATTGGTATTGAACTCAAACCTCAATCTTAACATTCATATGTGTATAAACGTGCGTCGCGAGATTGATGTTATAAGTCAAGGAGTTAACGATAAAGAATAATTTTTGGTTAAAAATAATAATTGCTTAGATTTGACCATTTGATAGCTCTTCTACCTTCACATGCCAACTC